GGCGGCTGGGTCCACGGCGTCAGCTTCTCCGCCAGCGGGAGCCACCTGGCCTGGGTCAGCCACGACAGCACCGTGTCCGTAGCCGATGCCTCCAAAAGCGTGCAGGTCTCCACTCTGAAGACGGAGTTCCTGCCCCTCCTGAGCGTATCATTTGTGTCGGAGAACAGCGTCGTGGCTGCTGGTCATGACTGCTGCCCAATGCTCTTCAACTATGACGACCGTGGCTGCTTGACCTTCGTCTCCAAACTGGACATTCCGAAACAGAGCATCCAGCGCAACATGTCGGCCATGAAACGCTTCCGCAACATGGACAAGCGGGCCACCACCGAGGACCGCAACACGGCTTTGGAGACGCTGCACCAGAATAGCATCACTCAGGTGTCCATTTATGAGGTGGACAAGCAAGACTGTCGTAAATTCTGCACCACTGGCATCGATGGAGCCATGACAATTTGGGATTTCAAGACCTTGGAGTCTTCCATCCAGGGCCTCCGAATAATGTGAAGCTGAGCAAACCTCGGAGACTGAGCCAGCATGACCAGCTGCAGCTGCCTGCCTCCCCGCCCGCAAGAAACACTGAAAACACGACCGTGCAGATGCTCCTCTGTGTGTGCGCGTGTGATGTGTGTGAGAATAGAATTGTGAGTGTTGATATTTTAAAAGCAGAAAAGATTTATCCCCCTGGCCTGTTTGATTCCATTTTTGACCAAAGCTTCTCTTTAAACAATTGATATTGGAAAATTGCCATACTGACCTAAAGGAAGGGGGCAGGTATGTAAATCGTCTGCTAGAAAATTGAATAAAATTGCTAAATGTGGAAAAAAAAGAAATGAATGTTCATATTTAAGATTAATTGATGTTGACAAAAATACCAAGACAATTCAATGGAAGAAAGAAGTCTTTTCAACAAATAAATGGTTCTAGAAGAACTAGTTGTGCATACAAAAAAAGGAAAAGAAAAAAAAATTAAAGAATGGGAGCTCTGGTGTGGCCTAGTGGCAAGAAGCTGCACTGCAATCCCGAAGGCGTGTAGTTCAAATCCACCGGATGCTTCGCTGGAGAAGGAGGGGTAATCTCCACCTGTGCCAGTCAGATCTGATTCGATGGTACAAAAAAAGAAGGGAGAAGTAAAAAAAAAAAAAAAGAAAAAAAGAAATTCAATCCCTGCCTCACATTAAATACAGAAAAATAAACTCTAAATAATCAAAGTCATAAAAGTTATCAGGTGCCATTGAGTCAACTATGACTCATAGACCCTAAGAACACAAAGAAGACAAAAACATGTACACATAAAATTAAAACCATGAATCTCTTTAAAAGAAAACATGAGTGCAAATCTTTATGACCACAGATTAGGCTTCTAAACTTTAAAATTCACAGCAATTAAGGATGCCTTTGAGTTGTGGTCTTGAAGGAGAGTATTGGATATACCATGGACTTCCAAGAGAACAAAAATGTCTATCCAGGAGAGGGTGAAACCAGGTTTCTCCTTGAAGGCAAGGATTTTGAATCACCATCTCACATACTTTGGGCAAGTTGTCAGGAAAGACCAGTCCTCGGAGAAGGACTTGAGGCTTGGAAGGGTAGAGGGTCAAGACAGGAGAATAAGATCCTGGAGGAAATGAATTGACACAATGACTGAGGCAATGGGGTGAGGTGTGTCAAAGATGATGAGGTTGGCTCAAGATAGGGCAAGGTTCAAAGCCATTGTTCATAGGGTCACTATGAGTGATAGTTGACTTGAGCACTTGTAACAATAACAACAAGGGGGAAATAGATAAACAGATAAATTGAATTTCATCTAAATTGATTTTTTGTGCTTCAAAAGACATCAAGAAAATGACAAAGAAATTCACAAAGTGTGAGGAAATGTTTGTAAATCACATCTGATAAGAGACTATCTAGAACATACAAAGAATTCATACAACTAATTAATAAAAGTGGGAGAAGGATGGGCAGTCTCCTCCCGTAATATTAACTACCTCTGAAAACCCACTGAAGGGTCAGCTACAGGTCGGTTCTGACTCTACGTGAAGGATTTGAATAGATATTTTTCTAGAAAAAATGAAGATACATAAATCACTAGAAAAGATGACCAGCTTCATTAGCCATTAAAAAACATAAATCAGGACTGAGGGGAGAGAAGTAATGGAAGAGAAGTGACTGCTAATGGGTGCAGGATTTCATCAAAGGGTGATGAAACTGCTCTAAAACTGTTTGTGGGAAGGATGGCTATCTTAGTTATAGAATGCTGCTGTGCCGAGACACCAAAGGGATGAGTTTAACAAGTAGCACTTTACTCTCATTGTTCCTGCAGGAGGCTAGAAGTTCAAATTCAGGGTGATGTCTCTCTCTGTCCATTCTGGGGAAAAGCCCACACCCATGAAGGCCGGGTTATGTGCTACTTTCCCTTGTGACTCTAGGAGAATGAAATTCACCAAGAATTTTTACCTTTCCTCTATTAAATGTCAAATTCCTTTGCAGTAGTCCTTATGTGTCAGTTAAGTGAGTTGCTTATGTCTGCACAGTGTGAGATGGTTATGATATCAGTCACTGGCTAGTCCTCTCCACAGTCACTGCTGTGAATGCCCTGGAAGGGTTTCTGTGTCCAAGCACCATCACTTCCTCCAGAGTCATCTTTCCAGAGTGGAGCATCCCATCAGCTGAGCCAAGAGACCAGGAAAGACGGTCCCTTTCCCCCCACTTCCTCAGTGCCTTTGTTTCTTAGTGCTTTTTTTTTTTGCAGAAATATCATAAATAAGTGGCTTCAAAGAACAGAAATTTCTGTCTCTCAGGTTAGGAGGCTAGAAGTCTAAACTCAGCTCACCAACAACAATGGGGGAAGTCTTTGACCCTTTTGACTCTGGAGAAAAATCCTTGTCCTCCGGTTCCTTGGTTCTTTGGAGATCATCATGTGGCATTGATCTTCTTCATTTTTTACTTCCTTTTGTCTGTTGAATCTGTATTTTTCTTTCTTTATGTTTTGCGTGTTCTTTTTTTATTTGCTCAGGGTGGGGTTTTGACTTTACTGTCATACTCTGCCTGATTTCTGAGTCTACCACAAGGAGTCTTCCAATCAACTAAAGGAAGACACTGAGACTGAACACCCCTAAGCCTACCATTATTCCAAGGAAGTCTCCTTGCAGAACAGAAAATTAAAATGAAAAGGTTACTTGGTGATTCTAGATGGAGTTCATTCAGAAACCCAATGGAGGGTTGCTATGAGTTGAGAACAACTTGATAGCAGTGAGTTTTACACCAATATTGTCTCCTTAATCTAACAAAGAAGCCCTGATTTTTCGAATAGGGTTACATTCACAGGTAGAGAAGTTAGGATCCTAGTACATATTTTAGGGGGCACACAACTCAAGGCAAGACTTCGTTTCATTAAGACTTCCAAAAATCAAGTTTTCAGAAAAAAATAAAGGGGATTTAGGTGCTACATAGCCAAAAATATAACAAACGTCTACACTGGCAGAAGTACCTGCAAAAACCCCAATCTGTCAGAATAGACTGACAACTGACCAGTGTGTTTTTGAGGCTGTAACTCACATAAGAGGAGTCTGTCCATTTTCTCCTGAAAAATTGCTGGTGCCTTTAAACCACCCAAGAGGAGTCACTTTCGGGTCAGCAACACAACTGACTACAGATGATTGACTTGTCTATATTCTTCTAGCTTTAACTTAAAGAGATAATATGTTATTAAACAGAGTTAGGCTCCAGACTACTGTTTGGTTTAGATAGTACTTTAAAAACAGAATAGAAATATTTAAGGATCTCTAGTAGTTTAATGGTTAATCACTCAGCTGTTAACCAAAAAGTCAGCAGTGTGAAACCACCACATCACAGGAGAAAAGACTGTTTCCTAAAAAATTAGTTTTGAAAACTCAATGCGGCAATTTAACTATATTGCAAACTATAAGTTTGTAATGTGTTGGAACTGACTTAATAGCAAATTTATGTGGTTTGGACTCAGTTTATACCTAAATTTTAAGTAGATTTCAACCACTTGCCAGCTGTATGACCTTGTTTGTTATTGTTGATTGCCATCAAGTCACACGAGACTCTTAGTGTTCCTGTGAACAAAAGACCTGAAGCCTTTCTATAACTATTCTTTCTCCAAGTTCATTGAGTTCATAGGCATGTGGTTTAGGAACTGGATGCCACTCCTGCTTCCAAACCTGTCTTACACTGGCAGCTCCACCAAACACGGTCCACCATGGGCAACCATTATGGTATTTGAGACCCCAGTGGCACGAGGTTCAGCTTCACAGCAAATCCAGATTTACCTCAGCACAGCAAGTTGACGGAAGAGTGCTGTATGACTTAGAAGAATGTTCCTCCAAAATACAGTAACAAGGGATTAAAATATAATCCCTTGGACCCAACTTTGGCTTTATTAGATCAATTAACCTCTTTGAGCCTATGTTCACCTGTAAAATAAGGTTGGTATAGTACCTGCCTCACAGCTGTAGGCTTCAAGATTTAATTTCTTTTTTTTTTTAATGTATAAACTATTTATTAACAGATGAAGCCTACAGATTTATTTCTTCGTGGACACACCCACAGTACGGCCCCGACGGCCAGTGGTCTTGGTGTGCTGGCCTCGAACTCGAAGGTCCCAAAAGTGGCGTAGCCCTCTGTGGGTACAGATCTTCTTCAGTCGCTCCAGGTCTTCACGGATCTTGTTGTCCAGACCATTGGCCAAAACCTGACTGTATTTCCCATCCTTCACATCTTTTTGTCTGTTCAAGAACCAGTCTGGAATCTTGTACTGGCGTGGATTCTGCATAATGGTGATCACACGCTCCACCTCCTCTTCAGTAAGCTCTCCTGCCCTCTTGGTGAGGTCAATGTCTGCTTTCCTCAACACCACATGAGCATATCTTCGCCCTACACCCTTAATGGCAGTGATGGCAAAGGCTATTTTCCGCCGCCCATCGATGTTAGTGTTGAATACTCGCAAAATGTGCTGGAACTTCTCTGGGATCACTAGAGACATGGCGGCGGCAGCAACGGCGGCGTGTAGGCCTCCGGTGGAAGAGAGATTTAATTTCTATAATACTTATGAAGACCTTAGCAGTATGTGTATTTCTAAACAAAGTAGAATTCTCTAAGCAAAAGTTATATTTTAGAATTGAGCTGCAACTATTTTAGAGCAATGATAATTTAAAAAGTTCCAGCTGTGTACTTCTCCAGTACAGCAGTAAATACATCCTACTGTTGCTGGGTGCCATTGAGTCAAGTATGACTAATAGTGACCCTATGAGCAGCTGACCTGAACACTGCCCAATACTGTGCCATCCTCATCATCTCTGACATACTAGAGCCCATTGCTAAAGTCACTGTATCAATCTGTCTCACTGGAGTCTTCCTCTCCTTCTCTGATCCTTCATTTTTCCAAGTATGATGTACTTTTCGGAGGAATAGACTTGCCTAATTATATGTCCAAAGTATGAAAGATGAAGATTCTCCATCTTTGCCTCCAGGGAGCTCTCTGGCTGCCCTTTTCCCAAGACATATCTGTTTGTTCTTCCTCCCCCCCTCCACTTTTCTGTTTGTTATTTTGGCAGTCAATGGGCTATTCATTACTCTTCTCCAGCACCACAACTCAAAGGCATCAAACATTCTTCTGTCATTCTTATTGCTTGTTCAACTCTCTGACGTGTAGCAGGTGATTGAGAAAACCATGGCCTGAATCAAGTGTACCTTAGTCTTCAAACTGCCATCATTGCTCTTCAGCATTTTGGAGCTGTCCCTGACAGCAAGCTTGCCCAATGCAATATGTCTCCTGATTTCCTGATTGCTGGTAGCAAAGTTGTTGGTTGTTGATCTAATGAAATCATTGACAGCTTCAATTCTTTCTTCATCGATCATAATGTTGACTGTTGGTCCCGTGGTAAGAATCTTTGCTTTCTTCATGTTGAGATGTAATCATACTGAAGGCTGTAGTCCTTGATCTTCTGCAGCAAGCATTTCTAGTCCTCCTCACTTTCAGCAAGCCAGGTTGTTGATGAGTCTTCCTCTGATCCTGATGCCACATTACTTTTCGTAGAGTACAGCTTCAAGAATTATTTGCTCAGCATACAGATTGAATAGGTATGGAGACCTTCCTGACACACACCCTTCCTGATTTTTAAACCATGTAGTGTTCCCTTGTTCCACTTGAAAAATAATAGCTTCTTGACCTATGTGTAGCTTCCTCTTGAGGTCAATTAAATGTTCTTGGTTGAACCCTAGTGAATTTCAATGCTTATTTTACCTCTCTTATTTTACTCATGTGTTTCACTTATATGGACATTCTAAATCCATAGTGCATGAAGCTTCATATCATTAACCTGTTAAGTAAATTTTTATCTTATTATTTAAAATTCTTTCCCCACCCCCAACTCAAAATGCAACAAGTTGAAGAGGAAAGTTGTGAGTCATCTAGATGGGAAAGGGTTAATAAATGAGATGAGAAATTGGGAATTGAGGACTTCTCCATCAATATCATCAAAAAGTGAAAAAGAAAAGTGGGAAGCAACCAAAAGGGAAAAGGGTAAAAAAAGAAAAGAAAAAATGGGAAATGAAGAACTCCCCAACAAAAACAACAAAAAGTTGAAGAGGAAAGTTGTGAGTCATCTAGATGGGAAAGGGTTAATAAATGAGATGAGAAATTGGGAATTGAGGACTTCTCCATCAATATCATCATCCCATGTAGTTTGTGCTGCTGATCACTAAGCAGAAGAGGTAGTGTTGCAACAACCCGGTGAATGAATTATTATTATTTCTATGTCAAAAGAATGAGAGATGGGAAAGCAGCAGCAATAACTTAGAACCTAGATTTCAACCCCCACTCCCTTATTCTAAAGCCTGTACAATTAATGATCTTGTCAAAATGCCAAAAAGTAGGATAATATTTTCTCATAGAAATATTATAATAATTGGAAGGGTTTTTGTTGTTTTTTTTAAGTTATTTTCTTGATTCATGACTATGAAACTAATAAAATCTTGACTTGACCATTGGCATGCCAGAAGAGATATAGTAACGATGTACTTCTATAACTTTTAAAATGTAAAATTCAGCTCCATAACATAAAAATACACTCTAGGTGCTCTGTCATCATTGTTGTTGACTGCTGTCAAGTCGAGCATGACTCATAGCAACCATATGAACAAAAGACCTGAAGCTTTTTTATCACTATCAACATTTATGCTCTTGTTGTTGTTGTTGTTGTTATGTGCCGTCGTTTGCGATTCATAGTGACCCTATATACAACAGCCCTAAACCCTGCTCTATGCTGTGCCAATCGCATTGCCTCTGACACATCCATCCCGATTACCCCAGTCACTGAATCAATCCATCTCATAGAGGGTCTTCCCTTCCTGCGCTGTCCTTCCACCCTATCCAGCATGATGTCCCTCTCCAAGGACCTGTCTCTCCTTACAACATGTCCAAAGTATGTCAGACGAAGCCCCAAAATCCTTGCCTCCAAGGAGTAGCCTGATTGAACCCTCTCTAGGATGAATCTGTTTGTTTTCTTGGCAGTCCAGGGTACGTTCAATACTCTTCTCCAGCATCACAGGTCAAAGGCATCAATTCTCCTTCTATCGTCCCTAGTCATTGTCCAACTCTCTGATGCATAACAAGTGATTGCAAAGACCACGACCTGTATCAGGAGCATCTTAGTCTCCGGAGAGACACTGTTGCTCTTGAGTACTTTAGAGAGGGCCCTAACAGCAGACTTTCCCATTGCGATACGTTTTTTGATTTCCTGGATGCTGGTGCCAAGAGTGTTGACTGTGGAGCCGAGCAAACTGAAGCTGTGAACAATCTCAATCTCTTAGCCATCCATCCTGATGCTATCAATTGGTCCAGTGGTGAGAATCTTTGTCTTCTTGACATTGAGCCTCAGTCCATACTGAAAGCTGCAGTCCTTGACCCTCTGCAGCAAGTGCATGAGGTCCTCCTCAGTTTCAGCAAGCAGGGTTGTGTCATCTGCATAACGCAGATTGTTAATAGATCTTCCACCAATCCTGACGCCACACTTCTCCTCATAGAGCCCAGCCTCTCGTATAATCTGCTCTGCATACAGGCTCTAAGGCATTAAAAATATGTGGACACAACATAGTATGCATATAGCTCTATTAAAAATCTACTGTGTAATAAATCTGACCTAATCCTAATTTAGAGAGCTTTGGTGGCTTAGTGGTAAGGAGTTGCGCTGCCAACACAAAGGCAGGCTCTTCAAATCCACCAACTGCTCTGGAGGAGAAAAAATGAACAATCTCTTCCTATGTGATTTATAGTCTTTGAAAACCCTCTTGAAGATTAGCTATAAATCATTTTCAATTTAATGACATACAACAGCAGCAACAACAACTATTACTCTAATACATAAGTTATAATCAACATTTTTTTGAAGCAGGAGTGGCGTCTACTTCCTAAGCAGCTTGCCTCTGGAAACTCTATGAACTTTGATAAATGTTGATAGTTGTAGAGGGGCTTCAGGCTTTTTGTTCATAGGGTTGCTATTAGTTGTACTCGACTCAACGGCAATCAACAGCAACAACAACCAATAAACATCTAATTATAAATCTTTTTCCCCCCTTAGACTTCAGAAAACTTTGAAGGACCACTTAAAAAATTGGTAGTGATTAAAAGTCGCACAAAGACAAATGCCTCTTTTTCCTTTCAGTGCCTTTTGGTTTTTTCATATATTCAAAATGATGTCATTTGGTTTAGTTCCACACTTGACACTGTTGACAGCCTTCAGAGTCCTTCATACCTTGCTAGGAAGTCATATAAGTTAAAAAAAAATCCATTGTAAATTGTGCAACAATGAATGATTTTTTAAAAGAGAAAAGCAAGTGGGGTGGGGGAATAGGAAGGAAAATGTGCAACAATGAATGAATGAATGGAAATCCAAGTTTTCTGTAAACGTTCATTATAATCACAATTAAAAAATTATTTTTAAAAATCCACTTAAAAAAAATATCAGAGCCTTTCTATGAAGATGACGCCGAAAGCAAAGAAGGAAGCCCCTGCCCCTCCCAAAACTGAAGCCAAAGCAAAGGCATTAAAGGCCAAGAAGGCAGTCCTGAAGGGCATCCACAGCTACAAAAAAAGAAGATCCGCACGTCACCCACCCTCTGGCGGCCTAAGACGCTGAGACTCTGAAGGCAGCCCAAATACCCCCGGAGGAGCGCCCCCAGGATAAACAAGCTTGACCACTATGCCATCATCAAATTTCCCCTGACCACTAAGTCAGCCATGAAGAAGATAGACGATAACAACACACTTATGTTCATTGTGGAGTCAATGCCAACAAGCACCAAATTAAACAAGCTGTAAAGAAGCTTTGTGACATTGATGTGGCTACTAAGGTCAACACTTTGATTAGGCCTGATGGAGAGAAGAAGGCCTATGTTCGACTTGCACCTGACTATGATGCTTTGGATGTTACCAACAAGATTGGGATCATCTAAACTGAGTCCAGCTAGCTAATTCTAAATACGAATTTTTCTCACCAAAAAAAAAATCAGAACATTTTTCAGATAAATCCTTAGCTATACAGACAAGTAGAAGACTGTACCCTACCTATAATGTTGTTTGGATGTGTACATGTGTTTGTGTGTATGTGTTTATACACATGCATATATGTATATTTGCATGTATGTCTATATGTGTTTGCTTATATTTATGGGTATGCAAGGGTGTATATTAGTGTGTGTTAAATTGCTCAAGACAGATTAGTAAATATACAAGTAAGCCTAGTTTATCTTGCTTCTTGGATAATCCAATGTTGAATCTCACTTCTGACACCACCTATCAAAATGGCATGACAGGGGCATCTGTTCTCCTTTAACTTCACAGGGGGAAAAGGGAAATCAAGATCCATAGCCCAAGGCTGATTTCAGAGGTTAGACATACCTCCACTCACCAACATTTTAACCAGTTCAGACACCAATTTTCCTTCTCACAGCACTTTATGTTCTGCTGAGTTCACAATTCGTTGCCACAATTCACAGACCACATTCACAGTTTTAGGGTTTTCTAGGGAAATATAGGTTACATTTCAGGATGAAAGAGGATTTAG